AGGATGTGTCAGGCGATGGAGAGAAAAACAGGGGCGCAGCCACCAGTTTTCTTGATTGAGTATTGTTGGAGGAGAGTTGTGATTTGTGAAACAAGGACGACTTGAGAATGACTCATCAGGATTTTCCCTCGAGACCAGAGGAGAGTTACATCAAAGATTCCCTCAAGATTCCCCTTCTGAGCACGCTGAGGGCAGCGTCCGGAAAGCCGCTCACAGTGGTGATCCACAGCCCCACGTGGATCGCTGATCATGTTTGTTCGGATCACCTGCACTTCGCGTACTGGTGCAAAGCTAGACAGGAGAACTGAAGAGTACCGTCTTGACATGCTGAATGCTTGCTGTGTGAAGACCTCATTCTTCAAACTGGCTTGGTGTTTGTCCCGAGTGTGTGTTTTGAATGGTTTCCATCAAAGAAGGGGGCCAGAATTCATTTCTCGAAAAAGATAGGATTAAAACAACAATATATGCAACCTCTCTCTCTCTCTAGATATACAAGGCATCATATTTCCTGCTTTCAAACAGGATCTCTCCAAAAGACCTCAAATGGAGAGTTTCCCAAAAAAAATACGAACCAAATCATTAGTGCGAGCGCTTCTTCAAGGAACCTCCCCCCCCTCCTGGAGCGGCAGGGAGCGGGCAAGAAGAATACAACAAGAAGCTACGAGTGTAGTTCCCACAAGTCGGTTTGTTCCGCCTAGTTTTAAAAACCAACTAGGAACAAGGACGCTACTAGGGGCTCCTGGCATCGCTACTAGGAGCAAGAAGCTACTAGGGGCTCCTGGCCTTACTTCTAGGGGCTACTAGGGGAACAAGTGCATCGCTACGAACGGAGCACCTTGAGAGGAGCCCTCTTCTCGCCTATGGGAGCGGAGTGCCAACCTCTGTCCGAGTGCCCCACGACCAGGTCGAGCCGAAGGCAGTCAACTTCGAGCGAAGGGTTATGTTGTTAATATGTTTAGTTTCTATTTTATGTTTATATACATGATTTTGTCAATTTTTTAAAAATCATGTTTAACGCACCAAAACCATTTCATCCTGGAAAGTTGGATCCAAAGATTGTGGAATACAGCAAGAGCTGAAAAAGAGCATTTGCATGCTGCCAATGCCGACACTTCTTGCGTACCCTGCTTCCCTTTGAAAAGAGGTAGTGTGCCCACCTGGACGATTTTTCAGCAGAAAGAAAGAAAGAAGGGAAGGAAGGGATGGAAGGGAAGGGAAAGGAAACAAAAGGAAAGACATGAAAAGAACAGAAAGAGGACAGACGTGTCTCAGAACCTAAGGAGGAACAGAATGCAAAGAAGCAAACAAGCAGAATAAACCAAGTTGTGGCACACATTTTGCAAGCCCGCACTGCGACGACAGGCGTAAAACCTCGGATGCTGCCATTGGACTGTAGGGCTACACACGTGGCCTTCAGGACAGAATGTTTGGGCAAAGCGATTGAGGGAAAACTTTCACCAGAACGAATCCCAGCGTTCTTCGAAGTACTTTTGGAGAATCCTAGGAACAAGGACGCTACTAGGGGCTCCTGGCCTTACTACTAGGAA